TAAAGATTCCGCTGTCACACTAACGTCCGTAAAAAGTAGGTATAATTATTTTTCAAGAGCACCAGTTAATAATTGCCGCAAAAATAGATTTGTATTATCGAAAAACCTTTTTTGCAATTTCATTAATTTTATTGAACAAATATTTCTCCTAGCTCCAAATCGTAGACATGATTAAAAACAACCTTACGGCTATGGTTAGTAGCACACTACGACTTGTCACTTGTACTGCTACTGGTTAAATGTGAATTAAAACTAATAAAAATAACAGCGTTGTCGACCTTTTTGGGTGCTTTAATGATCTTTGAGGCGTCGGGTAGCCATGCCCTTCATCATCATTATCAACAGCTCACAGTCGTCCACTGCTGGACATAGGCCTCTCCCAATCCATACCACTGAGCCCGGTCTGCGGCTCTCCTCATCCACTTCTTGCCGGCCACCCTGCGGAGGTCATCGCACCACCTAGCCAGGGGGCGTCCCACGTTACGTCTTCTGCTGCGCGGTCTCCACTCGAGAACCCGTCTGCTCCAGCGATCGTCAGTCCTACAGCATATATGGCCAGCCCACTGCCACTTCAGCTTGCTGACTCTTTGAGCTATGTCGATGACTTTAGTTCTCTGTCGAATAATCTCATTCCGGATTTTATCCTTCAGAGAAACTCCGAGCATGGCTCTTTCCATGGCTCGCTGAGCGACTTTGAGCTTGCATTGATTGTACGGCATCAATCGGACCTCATCGATTATCCTTGATGCCGGTGCCCTAAACATATCTATTACCCTTAACAAGGGCATTTAAATTTCAGAAGGTACCGTTTCTGGTCATTTATTTCCGGCCTCTGCCTATGACTTATGATCACGCTCTTTTGTTGAGATTAAATGCGACCATTCCTCGCATATTTTAAGATCATAAACAGATGCCCTAAATAGTACTACGTCGTCCACTTAATTTACATCAGTTACACACTGAGAATAAGCAGAATGCTTCGTGTTCATTTCGCTACAGCACTCGCTTCGCCGACTGGCCCTCACTACGCAGCTAAATCAATCAATTTCACGATCACACACGTGTTTGCTGTTTTCAAATCATAACGCAAATTGTGAAATCACGAAGCCAAGTGTAACTTCCCATAAAATCGTACTCATATCATCCGTTCGTTGAAGGACTCTCGATGTTAATAATTTTAATTAGCATCGCCTCAAAAATAACTTCACAATAGTATTTTCAGTAATTTAGAAACCGCAGATATTTTTAAAGGCACACTTACTATTGACTCCTTCATGATATACGAGGGTGACTCTTGAAAATAAAAGATCAGAGACAAAAACAAAAAAAAACTATCAACGATAATTGATTCAACTTTAAGCATCGACAAGTACCTACAAAAAATAATCTTCATACTCCATTGAGTGTGTTATGGAATGTGGAACGTTCTGACAATTATCTCCGGACATCGATGCATTTTACCACATCTATTGTACAAAATGATTCATAATCTTGTTAATAGTGGGACGCGCTGAGGAGTTTTTATATTTTTGTTTTTTTTTTTATTGGGTGATATGGTGATTAACCTATGTACTTATGTTGAGAGTAGTTTGATTCTACCAACGTTTTACGTAATGTACTGGTGGGATTTCAAGGATTTCCAAATCGGTATCGCGATGCACTGAGAAGATCCGGCAGGAAACTCAGTGGGTCGTGTGTTTTTTTTTTTTTTTTTTTTTTTTTTTTTTATGATTGAAAGTTTACTGGTGGCCCGAAGGCCTTTCCAGTTTCACCAGGACAGGTGGGCGAGCAAAGGCTCAGCCAAGAGGGGTGGGATTTGCTAACAACTGCCCGAGCGCCTCCGAAGGAGACCTAACAACTCAAGAGCAATTGTTTCGCGAATGAATCTACTACCGGATCGGAATCGCGACCCGCTGAGAAGATCCGGCGAGAAACTCAGCGGGCTGATGCATGGGTTAGGTTGCACGTCGACCTCTTTGTCGAGTTCGACGAGTACGGTTACCGGGGTCCCTAAGCCTGCCCCTAGTATTAGAGCTGAAGGCATCTAATGCAAAGGTTATTGGATCTGATGGATCCGTAAGGACGTGTCTAGGGCGTCGACGGTGACTGGCTCCTGCATGATCAGGATTCGGGGAGTAGTCAGCGGCGGCAACGATAAGGCGATTATCATGACGCATAGCCTTATCGAAGTATCGTTCCGACGCTGACTTCATGTATTTCCGAATTGATTCGAGGCCCAGGTCGTCGTGTAGGTCAACGTTCCTCACGAACCACGGAGCCCCGACAGCTAACCTGCAAAAGCGGGATTGTAGGGATTGGAGGGTGTCTATGTGTGTGCGGGCCGCGTGAGCGAACACCACACTCGCGTAAGTCATGACGGGCCTTATGCAAGTTTTGTAAAGTGTCACCTTGTTCCGAAGGGACATTTTACTCCGCTTACAGATCATGGGGTAGAGCTACCGAGAATAAACGCGGCACGGTCACGGACTGATTTTATATGCGGGCGGAATGTCATCGATGCATCCAGGGTAACGCCCAGGTACTTGACCTTCCTGGCCCAGGGTATGGGTTGTCTAAAGAGAGTAATCGGGGGTGTGAGATTCCTCCTCCTAATCCGGGAGGAAATCCGTGTGGAGCTTCCCCTCTGAAATAGCACCGCAGTACTTTTCGCTGGGTTGATGTCTATGCGCCATTTTCGGAACCACTGTCCTAGGGCTAGGGCTGCGCTCTGAAGCTTCTTCGCGATTAGGGACTTATTTCTACTAGAATAGTAAACAGTCGTGTCGTCGGCGAATAAAGCTAAATGGGTCGGCGGCGACCGGGGAATATCGTTGACGAATAAGCTAAATAGGAGGGGTGAGAGGACAGAGCCTTGCGGGACTCCAGCTGTGAGAGGTCGTGGGGAGGAGCGGGTTCCCTCGACTCGATATCGAAAAGAGCGGTTCGACAAGAAGTCCCGTATGATGAGCACGAGACTATCCGGCACGCCCATGTTGAATAGTTTGAAAATCAAACCATTGTGCCAGACTTTGTCGAACGCTTTTGCGACGTCGAAGAAGAGAGCTCCCGTGTATAACGGTTTTGGTCGATTAAGCCCCACAAGAATGTGCTCCGTGAGGCGGTGCACCTGTTGAACGCATGAGTGATTTGTACGGAATCCGAATTGTTCATCGATAAGAATGCCCTTGGATGAGACGAAGTCTCTGAGGCGTTTGTAGAGCAGAACTGAACGTTAGAACAGTAACGCGTCAAGCAGGGTCGTGTGTCTATGGACTAGTTCGCTCGACAAACTCGTCTAAGAAGACGATGACCGGTGCATGAAGAGCCCAAAAGCACCGTTAGTGGATCCGGGGAATCCGACAAGGCATTATTCGAGTCACATATGAGGCCGTCAGCGCAAAAGTGGCCTAACCCACAATTTTTCATAATCAAGCTTGTTATTGTGTATATTGCAATTTATTTAAAATATAATCAATTTTGATGCAAAACCGGCGTATATAATAGTTTCACCCATAGATAACAGATGGCTTTGTAAACATTATTTTTGCGCGTATGGTTTTTTTGCCTACTCAAATTCAAATTCATGAAAACTTAAACCTCATTGCTCCATAATAACTATGGTAAGCTTAGGCCACTTTTGCGCTGACGGCCTCATATGTATAGGCCCAATGATAATAAATAATATATAACGCAATAACAAACACTCGTATATACACTGAAAGGAATTCGAATAGAAGAAAATTCGCTCAATTACATAATATATAATACTAAAATTCGCCACCAATTGTTCGGTTTAACAAGTTTGAATTAATATTATCGATCGAATAAAATTTTCAAAGAGATACAATATAAAAAATACCTACGCTACTACCAACTACGTACCTGTGAATTTAGCTGAAATAAATAGCCAAAAGTGTGAATGGCCTATGTGTTTCATCGGGGTCACTGAGTTAACGCCCGGACTACGAGTGCGGAATACAAGTGCAAAAATGATAAAATACATGAGAATACAAATGTATTTTGGTTCTGGTCAAAAACAAAAAATGCTAATAGACTATAAATCATTTTAAATCTAAATAATAAATAAAAATATTTACAACACGTCTTTGCGATTTTTTTTAATAAGGATTTATTTTTTACTTCGTTTTAGATTTAGAAAATCATGAACATTAAATATTTAGGGTGTACGTATTTACTCCAGTGGCCATTGCCACATTTGTCAAGGTCTGTGCAGTCCGTTTCCTACAGCACGAAAACAGTCTGTCTATATCTATTATTATTGATTATACTATTATTTAATACAATAAAAAAAAAACCTAATTAAAAAGTGTAAATAAAAATACTTTTGTCAATTTTACAGAAAACAACATGTCCAAACTAAAATTAAAACTAAAAATTTTAGACCAAGATGTGAAATTTCATCGAAATGAAACAAACACATAGCTTTAGGCAAATATTTGCGTAGAATTTTTCGGAAAATATGTGTATTTACACGCTGTAATGGCTAAAAAAACATCACACGTATGTGTGAATCATTACAATATTTTTATTTGTTTTTTTTTTATTCATTTTGAATTGTTCAAATTATCGCATCGAAGGGTGTACATCTTTATATTATCGTTCTTCTAAATATATTGCGAGGGGTAAAGGAAGGCTATTTGGTTTAAGCGACATTTCGCTTTTATCGACATTTATCTTTGTGATGAAAGGTCCGTTTTCGTTGATATTAGTATTAACATTTCGATGTTTTTAATTGAACTTCAATGAAGTTTACCCCATTGAAATAGTTGAAAAACTTTGTACGTTACGAAATTTGTTGAAATGTATAAATTTAAAGTTCGTGTAAAGTTTCAAAAAATGTCGCTGAAAGGGTGACTGTAGATAACAACCTTATGTAGTAAAGAAGGAAAAAATCAAATTATTATGAGAAAGAAATAACTTTTATTATGTCTTTTACATCTTCTATAGTAATGTACATTAGCAATTGTTTTTGTTCCCAGGAGGCGGAAGAATGGGTGAAAAGAAATCAGACCGGACCAATGATCAACCCTTCCTTCGAACCGGACGATTTTGTTCCACACAGGTACATATATTTACCTATTACATATATCGTTTTAATTTGGAACGTCAAAAGTGTCGACGAGCGACGTCCGCCATGACACTTTTCCCTTTTCAATTCCAGCCGCCAAGCCGCATCGATTTCATATTTCATATATTCATATATCTTTAGTTTGTCACTTATGGACTAATAAAGATGTCAAAACAAAAAATACAGTCCACTCTGATACCACAACGCAACATATATGTTAATACATATATGTTATACATATATGTTAATACATATATGCAATTTCTCGCACCCATTATATTCCATTAGAAGTTGACGCCTCACGTAGCTTGACTAAACTTCAAATACTATATTCATTTTCCTTGTACAGAGATTTAATGGCGTCAAAAAGTTTTTTATCAATGTTTTTGTAACCTTGGTTCGTTTTACGTGTCCCGCGGTGGGATATCAAGCGTGCTTCTCATCCGAATGATCAGAGGCTTGGAGCTGAGCACGTAAGACATTGCTTTCAATAATATGTGCATACGTATTTACGAGTAATATTAGTCGGCAACCGGTTAGTAATGTAGGTAGGTATTAAAAGTGTTATTGACATGGACGTCACTTGCTGCTCTGTCAACGTGGAACAGTTAAACCATCTACACGAAAATATACAATACAAATAATATAATTAGATTTGTAATTTATAATTGTTACTAAACGTATGCGATGAGACCTCGTAATCTACTAGACGCTGCTTTTTTATTTATTTTTATTGGTTGTGTGTGTGGGCGAGCTCACGGTCCACCTGGTGTTAAGTGTGTTTACCGAAGCCCATAGACATCTACAACGTAAATGCGCCACCCACCTTGAGATATGAGTTTTAAGATCTCAGTATAGCTAGTTACAACGGCTGCCCGAAACGTTCAAACCGAAAAGCATTACTGCTTCACCGCAGAAATAGGCAGGGTGGTGGTACCTACCCGTGCGGACTCACAAGAGATCCTACCACCAGTAATTACGCAAATTACAATTTTACTGGTTTGATTTTTATTACACGATGTTATTTCTTCATTGTGGAAGTCAATCAAGAATATTTGTTAAGTACGTATTTAATTAGAAAAATTGTTACCCGCCTGCGGGGTTCGAACACTGTTGTATCGCTATATGCGAATGCACCAGACGTCTTATCCTTTAGGCCACGACGACTTCATTCTCTTCTCTCTGTTTCTCTCTACAATACATAATATATTAAAATAAAAAATAAAAAACTTAAAAATGTCAATTAAAACTTTCGCAACTTATACCAGACACCTGGTATACCAGATATAGCTTATACCAGACTTATACCAGATACCTGGTATAAGCTGCGTGCAGTAAAATGCAGCTATTCCTTCCAAATTACAATTCGGAAGACGTCTTCAAAACAACTATTCCATGATATTATAATAAATAGATTTAGGAAAAGTTAAAAAAAACCGTAGTGTTTATTATTTATTAGTGTTTATTTATTTAACCGTGTAGTTTAATCACAATGATATTTCATTTAGAATTTACAATTAACGCAAATGTAATTTAAAATCTTGACACGTACGGAACTATCTATGATGTCGTCACTCCTTAATTAGCTATTGTACTGCATTTATTGTCGTACTCCATCAGAATCAATAATTAGTTTACTTTAGATCACATTTTCCGACATCTAGATAATTGTGTGAGGAAGATTGGAAACGCCTTTTGTTAGTTATTTGTTTGTTATTTTGTAGGTGTTTTCTTTTATTATTGCCATTGAACGCAGCCAATTGAATATGACCACAATACTTATTGGCCTATTTACTCAAATTATGCAACAGTGGATTGTTTTTAATTTAACAAAAACTGAAATACAATTTCCGTGATATGTATAAAGCGTTGATTGGAGAGTATCGAATATTTAATCGGATTATTGAAGTGAAACTTCCTTATCGGCGTTGGAAAAAAATTTACCGTCACGTTTTTCGGTTACGCGTCACATTTTTCCGTTACGCGCCATCTGTTTTGTATTCATGTCTATGATAATAAAATCCTTTTGTTTAAACTTTATCTAATTTAACTTTTTTGTATTCATGTCTATGATAATAAAATCCTTTTGTTTAAACTTTATCTAATTTAACTTTTTTGTATTCATGTCTATGATAATAAAATCCTTTTGTTTAAACTTTATCTAATTTAACTTTATTTAACCAATTTCTAGAAAGTTGCATGTAGATCATTTTTCGAAAAATAAGGCCATAAATAAGTTTCACTTCTTACGTGTGTACACTAGTACACGCACACATTTTTTATGTTCACCTTCTCACCTCACCTCACCTCACATCTAATTGAAAGTGTGACCGTCGCTAGCTTCGCTCGAGGCAGCTGATGCCCAAAAGCATCGAAAGACAATATCAACCGATATCAAAGACTAGATTCTAGGTTAGCGTGGTATGGACATGTGATGTGTAGAGAAAAGGTGCATGTGACTAGCTCATGTATGGAAATGGTAATGCAAGGTAGAGGGCAAAGAGGTCGACCGAAGAAGACATGGTTGGAGTGTGTGAATGACGATATGAGAGAGAGAGTGGAGTGAATGATGAGATGACGGCTGATAGAAGAGAATGAAGAGAAAAATTCGCTGTGCCGACCACCACCACCCTGCCTAATTCTGCCGTGAAGCAGTAATGCGTTTTGGTTTGAAGGGTCGGGCAGCCGTTGTAACTATACTTGAGACCTTAGAACTTATATCTCAAGGTGGGTGGCGGCGTTTACATTATATATGTCTATGGGCTCCAGTAACCACTTATTACCAAATGGTCTGTGAGCTCGTCCACCCATCAAAGCAAAAAAAAAACCTAGTGGGATAAGGTGGAGAAAAAGAAGAGAAAAAGATCAAAGACTAGATTCTGCTCTAAAGGCTAGTATAAGAAATTATAGCAGTTTCTAACAAGTATAAACTTATTAGGTAAATGCAGATCAATAACTAAGTAAACAACGGTTGCCTTAGCAATCGTTTAACGGGAAATGGAAGGGCATGTTAGTTTCTCGGGGTAACATTTCAAATTATATCATTCATTTTAAAAAATATTACTCTCTCTCGTGTTAAAATAAAAAGTAATAATTAACCTAGCGCCCAATGTGATTTAGTATTGATGAATTATGTAATAATCTTTTATTGAGATAATATTTGTACTAAACTGACACAGAGAAGTCGAATTCAATTTGATTTACCTAATTTATTATTTACCTATAATCTAATCTGTGTGCAACTGAATAAACTATTTTAAGTACTTATTATAAATCAAGACTTCACAAAGGATTTTTCGCCAGAGAACATAATTTGAATCTGTCGTTTACTTTCACAGCCTATCACCGGTGAAGGATGAAAAGAAGAAGCCTGGCGATAAAAGCATCTTCTTGGTCAACATGAAGGAGAAGGACCTTCAAGAAGTAGAGGAATACGAACCGTATGACAACAGAGTCGTAGACCATCCCACAACGTAAGCATTTAAAACAAGTATTACATAATATTATAACCAACATTAAATACTAATCATAAGATTAAGTAATGAGCAATTTATTGGCAGAAAGGTCTCCACCAATAGCTTGCATAAGTACACCTACTTTAAAATTTAAAGTAGGTGTACTTTAAATTTTAAACCTAACCAAGTCGAAAACCAAATGTCAAATATCCGCAAATATATTCATTTGATTGTGAGATGACACAGCAATATACAGTATTAGATTGTAATTTAAAAACTCAAGGAGATCACTAAAATGGCACTCTTCTATTTTTCATTAAGAAAAACTTTAAACAATAAAGTTAAACGAAATGTATTTCTATATAGTTTTAATTCATTTATGTACAAGACGAATTAGCTGTTTGATGTCCAAAAAAGTGGGCTAATACTGACACAACGGACAAATTAGAAAAAGGTCGAACTAATTGGCAAAGTAATATGTAGATGTAATTATGAGTTCAACCTCAAACCTTAAGGAGGACAGCGGCATACTATGCTTTGCGCAGAAAGGTTGGGTTTTTATTTTAAAAAATATGGTCTACTTATTTACTCGTCTACAAAAAAATAATTAAAAATAAAAACATACAAACATACCGGAGCAATATTTTTTTCTTTTTTTTAATTAAGTAAAACGATTTAGTAGTCAAGGGATATAGTGATTATGTATTAAAATAAAAATACTTAAAGCGGAAAACGTGATTAAATACCATGTAAACTTTTATATATAACTATCATGTACTTGTGTCTGTCACTAAACTAACGACTGGACCCATATTTATGAAGTTATTGGTGTGTTTGAGTTAGTCCCTGGAAGGCTTAGGTTTACAATTGGAGCCCGCTAGATGGAGTTGGAATCAGATTCCATAAAAAAGGATGAGTAACATCTTTCACGCCTGCTAGTATGCGATAAAATAATTGAATATAACTAATATTTTTTTTGTGATATCAGTTAGGTATCCGTATTAGATATAGGTATAATATTTGAAGTGGAGTGATGTGCTGTGTTTTCCGCAATCCGAGTATTCGTGGAATTTTTTAGCGACGGTAACCGGTGACCGGTGACAGAGTTTATAGGTACATATACCTGTTCAACCTAGTTTGTAAAGAAGTCATCGCGACCTAAAGAAAAAAAAACAAACCGGAAAAAAATTAATTTACGTAATCACTGGTGGTAGAGCTGCTTGTGAGACCGCATGAGTATGTACCAGCAGATAAAGATAGGCACTGCTATGCTTTTCAGTTTCAAGGGTGGAGCAGCCATTATACAAGAAAGCTTTGATTTAGAACCCCTGTCTAGATGGATAGCATTTGTGTTGTTGTTGTCTATGGGCTAAAGTAACCATTTAACACTAGAGGGGCTGTCAGCCAATAAAAAACATATAGCTATAGCCGTATTGCATATGCAGAGGACTCTCGGAGTCATGCGAACGTATTAATAAAATTGTCTCGCAAATTCTACTCGATACGCTTTTATGCACAGTGCTTGTCGTATCCTCATTATTTATTGACAGTGCAGACACTGAGCGACAATATTCTTGCCCTTCTGCCCGCTTCCGTGTCATAGTTTCCTTTTGCAGCATCCACACATAACAAGTAGGATGACAAGGACTTTTCCTCATTACTACGGAATTGTATTTTGTGGTATTATTGAATCATCGGAACAGAAAGGCGAAGGAACCGGAATTACTGGGAGGGCATGCTGTGTCAAGAATGTTGTAGCTTGTAGCATCGCCGGTAGTCCAACGCAACGATGAAATTAAGCGAAAATTTATTTTTTGTATGACATTCTCATTTCAGATTTGCCGTTGCGAATTGATTGACTAATAATTGTTTACTATAAGCTCAAGCCTAGCCATTTAAAATACGCCTTTCATTTTGTAGTCGGGAATTTAATGTGGGGAGTTAAACGAATCTTCAAAATTTAGCATTATCTTATATCTTTAAACGAGCAATTCTTGTATATAAATATATATGTAATCTGATTCTCGGAAATTTGATGAAATTTGATTTGATTTGATGATGGGAAATGATTTTCATAAAATTTTGTATACAGGGGATTTCGGGGGCGATAAATCGATCTAGATACGATTTATATTCAGAAAATGTTGTTTTATTCGTGTTTTCAATAATCAACTTTGTCGATAATTTTGATTTTTTCTTTAAATAACCAGTTCGTATTTTTTTATTATTCTGTCGGTAAGATCGAAAAATATTATTCATACTTCATCATTTTATCAATATGTAATTCGTATTTAAATATAATTTCTAAAAAACACAATTCATCAAAAAAAAAATATATATAATATAATACAAATTATCTAGTTAATATAAAAATATATAGATCTTAATTTATAAATATACATTTAAGAAAACTTATTGTTTTTACTTGATTCTGTATCTCTTTGTTAACAGGAACACGGAGACCCTACTTCATCTTCTGAAAGGCAGTTTAGGCACTGGTATTCTGGCAATGCCGCGTGCCTTCTCCCATGCCGGATATGTTGTAGGCGGCATAGGCACTGTGATTATCGGTGTGCTGTGTACTTACTGCATCCACATATTACTGGATTCTTGCTATGCGCTGTGCAAGAGGCGGAAGGTGCCCTCCTTGACGTACACCGCTGCAGCAGAAGCGGCGCTGTCCGAGGGCCCGGACTGGTGCAAGGCATGCGCTCCTTACGCTGCGTGAGTAATACTAAGACTTTTTTGAATCCTCCATATTTTAGACTCATAGTTAAACGATATTCGTTTAAACTGTGATACTGTTAGTCACTGTTTATTGCTCTTCTCCAATCATCATCAGAGGCCAAAGCGATATAAACACCGCCACTCACTTTGAGCGACGTGGTTGAAGTTCCGACTGTTTACAATCCATAGCTCACATATCATATAAACATCAAAGTTACCTAATAGTTAAAATATAATATGTATCTATATACGATACTATATCATCTCTAAATATAAAAATGAATTGCTGTTCGTTAGTCTCGCTAAAACTCGAAAACGGTTGGACCGATTTGGCTAATTTTGGTCTTGAATTATTTGTGGAAGTCCAGAGAAGGTTTAAAAGGTAGATAAATATGAAAATGCTCGGAATTAAATAAAAATAACAATTTTGTTTGTTTTAAGCTTATTTTATACAAAAGCTTAGGTCTTTTATTTATCGATTGAGGCACTACAAAGTCTGCCGGGTCAGCTAGTATTATAATATATGACGGAGTGGCTGGTTCCATGGCGTTTTTAAAATGAGGACATCAGCGTCGCTGACGCTATTCCCTTCATCATCATCATCATTATTATTATTATTGCCTTCCATAGTGACAATAATTAAAACATACTTGTACAAAAAATTCCTTTATTGAATTTCAAGTATACAACAATAAGCACAGAGAGCTCCACACTGTTCGGTTGCTAGAATCATGCATTGGACTTATAGCAGTTATCTAACAACATTAACATTGAGGAAACAGCTAACTCTAACCAATCTTAGTTAACTACATAGCAGGGTTCCGCTGATGTACAATATGCGGTGCTTGCGTTAGAATATATCTAAATACTTTTAAATACACGAATGAACAAAACATTTAATGAATGTACGTATCAGCACTTTCAATGTGTACGACAACAAATCAATAAGAGTCCCAGACGCCATCTCGCGGGAACATTCTCATAACAAGCCAACCCTCAGGATGAATAGAATGCATTCCATTATAGAGGGCATAATATACTCATAGTCGGAACATGAAAACTCACTTAAATCATACAACACTGGTTTGTACTATGATAAAATATTGTGTGTTTTAATTTAGATTAATATAACTATTATCGAACATAAATAAATATATGTACATTTACACATCATCAATAATGAATCACATTAGACACATCACTAATTATTATGAACATAATTTGTGATTTAAATATTTTTACTGTTTTAGTTTTTTGTGGTTTTTCCCAATGTATACCAGAAACAGATTCGAATTGTGGTTTTCATTGGTTGCAAAGGGAACCCAAATTATTTTAATATTCTAATGGCCTTATTTGAAACAGTTCATCTCCGTAGAGTCCTTGGATAAAAATCAAAACTTTAGTGTTGGGAGTGACCACGGAGGGCGTTGTTAAGGAAAACCTATCAATTTTCCACGATTTTCCAAAACGGAGACAATTTTTCTCGATTAAGATTTCCCGACCATAACAAAGATTAGTATCTTTTTGTTTCTAATGACATTTTAATCAATTCATGCAATATTCTTTTAATATAAGTAACATTGAAATGATTTTTCTGAATCGCGATATTGAGATTTACCTATTGCATTAGTATATATAGGACCGCCAAGGTATATCTTTCAGAGGAGTCCGTTTCTACTCATGAAAGTATTTGCCGTTAGGCTCTACTGGGAGGCCCCGGAGACCGGTTGCGGTTGAGGGGACGGGGGCGGCCGAGATTTCCACGCAGTTCCGTGTTCCCTGGGGTGCGCTGTTGACTCACCCACTTTACGCGGCAGTCGTGAGGCGCGGGGTATTCCCGACAGCGCTTAGAATGAACGACGCTCCCTAGAGTAGGGGGGAGGCTATCTCCTCCGACATATGCTTGAGTAGGAGATTTGACTCCTTTTTGTGTTTTTTTTATTGCTTAGTTGGGTGGACGATCTCACAGCCCACCTGGTGTTAAATGGTTACTGGAGCCCATAGACAGTTCTAAGGTCTCAAGTATAGTTACAACGGCTGCCCCGCCCTTCAAACCAAAACGCATTACTGCTTCAGGGCAGAAATAGGCGAGGTGGTGGGTAACCTACCCGTGCGGACTCACAAGAGGTCCTACCACTAGTAATTACGCAAATTATAATTTTGCGGGTTTTGATTTTTATTACACGGTGTTATTCCTTCACCGTCGAAATCAATCGTGAGCATTTGTTGAGTACGTATTTCATTCGAAAAATTGGTTCCCGCCTGCGGAATTCGAGCACCGGTGCCGCTAGATACGAATGCACCGAACATCTTATGCTTTAGGCCACTTTCACAAAAGAACTTTTCCAGTTCCGAACTCATTTATAAGTGAACTTAAACCTTAAAGTGCCAATGGCCATGTTCCAATTCTATTACTGAGTGAAAACTAGTAAAACATAAAGAGTTATTAGATTACCATTCGATATTACGATTGTCCATTGCTACATAGTTTGTTTAGTAAAAAAATTGGTTGTCTGTAAAGTCGGTTTACGGACGATAGTTTTAGGTGATAACGTCATAAAGAAATATTGAAAATTAATAAAAAATCGCATACTTTTATGAATTGAATTGAATTATCATTATTTTGTATAATAATAATTTAAAAAAAAAAAAAAACAAAAAAATATGCTTTTATAGAAAATCCAACTAAAAAATAGAAAATGCTATGCACGATATTGTCAAAATAACCCTTCTACTCATAATATCTGTTCATAAAATATAACTATTTATTTCTCATTTTTTTAGTTGAATTTCAATTTATTCAATTATTTTTTATTCAATTTTTGTGTAAAATATTGACATGTCATCAGTCCTTAATAAGTATACCAAATTGCAAGTTAATCCGACTTTTTGAAGGTTGTCAAAATCATGTCCAAAGGTTCCGTTACATACTAACATACATACGTTTGAAGCTAATAAAAACGTATTAAAAAGGAGTTAATTAAAAATTACAATCTTTTCGATAAATTAGCACTTGGGCCGATCGTGCTTCTCTATCGCTTGTTCCGCGCTCTCGCTTGCACGCTCAGGCTCAGACGGAACGTGACACTTTTTCGTGCGGGTAGTCGGTGTTGATCGATTTATCAGACGCTATCATGTCGAAAAATCGTATTGTATTATATCGTAAATGAATTGTTCATTCATTGAATCGGAGCATTACAATTAAAAAATATGGGTCTGACAAAAATCTACAACAAAAGATTTAAAGTAAACAAAACGACCAATGTCACAGCACGTTTTTATTATCAAGAGAGTATTTGAAATATAAGTCTCTTTACTTCACTCTTTGGAGTGTAGTCACGTTTGATGGAACCTACCAGGATGTTTACAGAATCACCTTTACAAAGTCTGTGTTTAAGAATTCGTACCGGTTCGAAGACATTTTCTGAGCACGTGTTTTCGAATATTTTTATAGTGAAATGTATGGACGACCTGACCACTATCTTAAGTCGTTGTCGGAGCCCGTAGAAATTAACTACGGATGAGCTGCAATCCATATTCAGACTATAGTACTAGACTTGACTTCATCCTTCAAACTGGAACGGATTCCTGCTTCGCGGGAGAAATGAGTAGGGTGGTGGTACCTCGCCATGCAGTTTCGTAAGACGCCCTACCATTAATTATTCAAAATATATTTTTTACGAAAGTCGATACCTATCTGCGGGATTCTAGTACCGGCACAGTCGCATGGCTCTATCGTATATGACCGCACCAGGCATCTTAACCTTCAAGCCACGACGATTTCAAATTAATACAAGTGATAATCGCCCTAAACATGTTATTACGGATCCTCCCAATTCACTAACGGTGCTTTTAGGTACCTCAAGCACCGGCTATCATCCCAAATTAACCCATAGACAAAGCCCACTGAGCTTCTCGCTAGATCTTCTAAGTGGGTTGCGGTCCGGATCCGGTGATAGATTCTGCGAAGTGCTGCTCTTTCTAGGGCCAATGTTAGCAATACCTCCAGTTTGAGCCCTGAGAGCTCATCTACACGCTAGGGTAAAGCTGATATAGCCTCTCAAGATTATCAGCATAGGTAGGGAAAAAAAGTAAAGTACACTTATTGACTCTTATGTAATACGAGCATCTTAACTTCTAACTCTAATAACCACCACAATCGCGCAAAATGGCGACCGTGTCGTAAACTACTCAAACCATGCACTATCACAGTGATACTGTATATGACTGATGGCTGCGGTATTTATTAGGACCACACAAAAATTAACAAATTCTATAAACTTAACTCAACTAATTCGTATTTCTTCTACAGGCTCATCGTGAACGTATTTCTGCTGATCTACCAGATAGGCACGTGTTGCGTCTACGTTGTTTTCGTTTCTGAGAACATCCATTTCGTCTTGGTGAAGCGGTTCAACGTGGAAATCACCGTCTTCCAAGTGATGTTGTGTATCCTGCTACCATTGATACTGATCAATTGGGTACGAGACCTGAAATATCTCGCTCCGTTCTCTGCTGTAGCCAATGTGGTGACTATTGTTGGATTCGGTATCATCTTGTACTACATATTCAGAGAGACACCGACTTTAGAAGGCAAAGAACCTGTTGGTCGGCTCGCTGACTTCCCCCTGTTCTTCGGCACCGTTCTATTCGCTCTGGAAGCCATTGGAGTGGTGAGTTTATTTATTTTTGAATTTTTTTTATTGGTTACTTTTACGCAGCTAGACAGTGCTTTCACTATTGAAACTAATAGTAATTATCCTCTATACTGCACGCATTGTGAGGAGGTTTCTCACTCTGGAATCCTAACCACTGGTGGTTTGTGTCGTAGACACCGCCATCAGCTGCAATCTATTTTTATATAGTGGTTTTTTTTAAATTGTATTTTTAATATCTTTTTTAAAAATTATTGTGTAATCAATAAGATTTTAAATAAATATAAAGATATAATAATAATAATAAAATAGCTTTATTTGATTTCACAATAATTGGATAGAGCTTAATTAATTTAGTATTTAATAATGTTATTACTAAGTAACCATAATAAATCGATACTCATGCAATTTAATCTTCTTCTAATGTGGACCCCTTTAAGGTAAAAGCCTCCTCCAAAAAATCCCATTTTTCCTTATCTTTAGCAGTGGTCATCCAATCTCTTCCTATTTTGGATACAATCTCGCCCTGCGGTCCTTTCCATTTTGTGGTGTTAATTTTCCATCGATTTTCATCGTATCTCCCAACAAGACCAGCCCACCTCCATAGAAGTGTAGAGCATCCTTTACCTTGGTTATTTATCGAATTTTTATGTTTCTATTGAATCTGCAAACACTATTTACCTGGGAGTTTCAGAAAAGCTTAAAACAGTGGAAAATCTCGATCTCAAACAAAAAACATCTATTGTGAACCACCCCACATTCCTACACAACGTCGATCTAAATCAATTATTCATGAAAAACAAACATTGATAACTAATTATATTAATAAAAAACGATGTTTCCCGCAAATTATTATTAAAATATACACATGTAACATGTATCTAAATATATCAATGAAACAGTATTGATTGAAAGTATTAATAAAAGTTTTTTTACGACAAGAAATCCGATATTACAGTACGAAAACTGTTTACACTATCGCTTAAATGTATTCATATCTTTAAATTAGTAAATTCCTTTGATCCGATAACGGGAACAATGTAAAATAAATTCGAGACTGACTAGTACATTGTTCTATACTGATAAAAACGGAACAATGTATGACTATTAAAACTACACTATCTGAATTTCTTGAAAATCTACAATAAAACTCGGAATCAATCACACACGCAGAACGGCAGTTGTTTAGTAGTATAAGCTTATATTGTACAAAACCTTGACTTATTTATCAAGATTATATTTCCAACTACAAAAATTTTGTATAAACCTTTTATTAGATTCGTTCCTAATTATAATTGTTAACAAAAGTATTCAGTGCTAAACAAAACTAGCAAGTAAGTACTTGCGACGTTTGATAATCAGAACCTCGGAGACTGCTAAAATCATGACTTATCGGATCATCCAGATCCACTCTCGGTGCGCTTAGACTTTCCAAGCACCGGTCACAGTTCTCGTTGAACTCGTCAAGTTGGACACAACCCACTGAGTTTCTCGCCGGATCTTCTCAGACGATCACGATTCTGATCCGGTGGTATATTCGGCGAAAAACTGCTGTTGCTACGTTTTTAGTGTTAGCAAATTCTCTCTGGTCGAACCCCGTGTACTCACCTAGCTAGCTATACGCGCGGAGTTGGAATAGCCTCAATTACTACCAATGATTAGATAGGGGAAAAAAGCTAAAACCATTCTTCTATAGACCAATATATTGAAAGTAGCGCTAGGTATTTTTAATCTTTTTTTTTTGTAATCTGATGTAGATTTTCAACTACCAATGTAGTTGTGTTAAATAGTGAATTTATTAAACAAATATGTATCTATGTAATTTTTTAATTAACAGATTCTACCGTTGGAGAACGAAATGAAAACACCGAAGTCATTCGTCGGCAAGTTCGGAGTCTTGAATCGAGCCATGATTAGCATCATCATACTGTACGTCGGTATGGGATTGTTTGGATATCTGCGTTACGGGGAGGAGTCCATGGGCAGCATCACTTTGAACCTACCATCTGAAACAGAAACGTACGCTTTTTTGTCATTTATTATTAATCCAATTACTTGTAAGAGCTACAACGAATTTTATTGCATTAAAGAAGTCAATGTCGAACTGGTTTCAAAACTCCAAAAAGTAATGTTTTCTGTTTCTTAAAACATGTTCTACTTTAAACTAGTTTCAACTCAGAATAACTGCTTCAAACTAGATTTTTTTTCCCAAGACACACAAATGCTCGCTTATAAAATCAGGTTACGAACTTAAATTATTTTCCTCAAACAACTTCCAAACGTGTGATTTGAAAGAAAAAAAAACCTATTCTTTAACTTGAGGGACAAGACAAACTCACGACTTAGTCGACTTTTAAAATGTAACAAAAGTCGTCACAATCCAAATATTGGCACCATCACTCCTATATAAAAAGTCTTAGTTACATTTGAATGGATAATCTATCATTATTGTAATAATTAAAAAAAAATCCGTATGGTAAAACAACAATTCTCACATTTCTCGATAATTTCACAGAAAGCAGAAGCTACGGAATATTAATTCCCTAAATTATCCCAAAAGAGAATTTTAAATAGTAATCATCTGTCTGCACCATTCAAATTGTTGTCTGGAAATTATAGCTGGATTTTTTGCGCTATTTGGGTTTCTCTCGATGTTCAGCATAGAGTCTAAAGCCCAATTCGTTGTATAGTTAATGAAACTTATAGACATTAAAACGTAAATACCACTACCATCTTGCAACAAGGGGTCGAAATGCCTTTGATATTGTATAGTAACAATTACCCCGCCTTCGCGTCATTAAAGATCCTCCCGATCCATTAACGGTGCTTTTAGGTACCTCAAGCACCAGCCATCGTCCTCGTCGAACCCGTCGCTTGTGACGAAGGCCTCGACGAGTAAATTAACCCATAGACACAACCCACTGAGTTTCTCGCCGGATTTTCTCAGTGGATCGCGTTTCCGAACTGGTGGTAGATTCTGCGACGCACTGCTCTTGCTAGGGCCAGTGTTAGCAACACTCCTGGTTTGAGCCCCGTGAGCTTACCCACTCGCCCGGTTACGCTGACATAGACTCTCAAGGCTTAGACAGGGAAAAAAACCCCGCCTAGAAACACTGAATTAATGAGATTGACGAGAAATTGTTTTATCATATCATTATCGTCTAACAAGGCTAGTGATGTTTATTATATATTTGTAATAAAAAAAATTGTACTCTAAATTGAAATAGAATCATTCCTCGGTGCTATTATACACGCCCTTCGTGCTCAAAATCGCAGATTCGAGACAGATTTTCTATTTTTTTTTTTACTTAGTCTTTTAGAAATCACCATCAATGTTTTTTTTTATTGCTTAGATGGATGGACGAGCTCACAGCCCACCCGGTGTTAAGTGGTTACTGAAGCCCATAGACATCTACAACACAAATGCGCTACCCGCCTTGCGCTACGTACGAATGCACCGGACTTCTTATCCTTTAGGCCACGACGACAATTTATTTGTCAATGCGTAAAACGTTAAGAAAAAACTACATCTGCTTATTGTTTGCAGTCTTGCAAGTGTCGTACAGTGTCTCCTTGCATTCGCAATCTTCATAACTCACGGACTGGCTTGCTACGTCGCCATTGACATCCTCTGGAACGAATACATCGGTGTGCGACTACTGAACAGCAAGTTCCGTGTCGTATGGGAATATATTGTGAGGACTATCATCGTACTTATCACTTGTAAGTATTCTGACCACAAGCATGAGTATAGCAAAATAATTAATTTAATTTTTCCACGTAATGTCGTACCTGACCCTGCGAATAAGTTATTCGTAGATCTAACCCTACACTATGCTTAGAAACAATATTTTGTGAAACGTCTTAAGCATTGAGCTATTGGTGTTGGTATTGTTCTGCCTTTATATGGTTCATTTAATTCAATGCCACACAGTTGAAACAGTTACATTTTCCTTTAGAATAAATTCGCTTTAGAAATCGCTTAATACCTATACAATGGTACAAAACTTTCATTAAACTTTATTGCGTCACGCTTCCGCGAACTACACAATCTTGATTTGAATTATTACCTGGAATTCATTTTAGTAGTGTTTGTATTGAATATGTATTTTGGTTACATACAAACAAAATTCTTAATGTAGCAGCCGATGTTACGTTGTCAGTCATACAAATCAGATAAAACATAAAAATGGTGTAGGTATTCTCGTTAATAAAGAAACAGAAACGATTATTTGATGTCGAAAATTATTATATTTTATTTTATTGGTTAGATGGGTGAACGAGCTCACAGCACACCTGGTGTTAACTGGATCCCATAGACATCTACAACGTAAATGCGCCACCAACCTTGAGATATAAGTTTTAAGGTCTCAAGTATAGTTACAACGGCTACCCCGCCCTTCAAACCGAAACGCATTACTGCTTCACGGCAGAAATAGACAGGTTGGTGGTACCTACCCGCACAGACTCACGAGAGGTCCTACCACCAGTAGTAATTCGATAATTCTTATTGATTACAGTCGGCTTAGCTGCAGCGGTTCCGGAATTGGATCTGTTCATTTCCCTGTTCGGTGCTCTGTGTCTGTCTGCTCTCGGACTAGCATTCCCTGCCTTTATACAAAGCTGCACGTACTGGTACTATGTTTCACGCTCTGAACGCATTCGTATGATCATCAAGAACATCATCGTAGTATTGTTCGGGGTTTTGGGCCTAATCGTCGGCACATGGACGTCACTGCAGAGCATCATCCAGAAGTTCTCAGGAACACACAATCCAATTATCAACGGCACGCACTTTACAATGTTAAATGAAACAACGCTTCCTTGATCGACATCGGGAATTTAGTGAGTAATCATCAGTGATAACTCATACAGGATCACATATAAAAACTCAATTTATGTGTGATCATTATGTGTGCCATTTGGAGCGGTTCGGACCACACTAACATACCGGTACACGCAATATCCATAGAGTTAGCAATGTTATATAAGAAAACAACCCTCGAATAAGTTTTAAAGTATTGTTACGTTTCTTCCAAGATATATGATAATTCATAGACGTAAATTAATTGTTGTCGACGACAAATTTGTATGAGTTGTAACGTCAGGTGACTAGAATGGGCTTCAGAAATGGATGTAGTACAAAAGCTAACTGTAGAATTGACAAAACTTTAATAGTGTAGAAAGTTACGCCCCATTATAATTAGACGCATTTTATGAGGGTCATTAGATGAAAAGCACTCATCAGATTAATAAATAACATTTATTTACTTATTTACAAATAAGAACAAAGTCTGCGAAACTTAGTTATTGCAGATTAAATACAAGTAACATAACTAATTATATTTTAGTGTAATGGAATATCCTAGAAATAGTGAGAGTGATGTCGAGTAGAGCGAGGCATTTCCGTAATTTTAAGATAACTGCTAAGTACAATGTGTAATAATAACATAAAGTTTTTTTATGAACCCATATCATATTATGATGAAAGAAAGAACATGAGATTAAATCATCATTTTCGTTAAAACAACTTAGTCTTCGACTATTGTAAATGCGATATTCGCTGGTTCTTCGTTTCATAATATTATAATAATTTGTTAGTATTACCTAATATGTATATCATTGTATTAACTATTTTAGATTAGTTTAAATCTTTAGATTTTAAGATTCGTATTGCAATCATTACCGACAAGGAACTAGGAGCATTAGCTTTGTTCTTTCAGTATTACGAGTACAAAAAAGGTTACAAATAAACGTTTTGTCAATATTTTTTTTATTTCAATCAAGTAAATACTTAAACTATAAAATAAACTCAAAAGCAAAACGTCGTATGCGTATTTATATTTAAATTATTTATCGTTCTTAATCGCCACCGGAATACAAACTCTAAATTCTTTTGAATTGACATAATATTTAGCTTTAATAGGTTTTTTTTCTAATTTTGCATAATTTTGTGTATTCATTTGTATTTATAAAAATTAAAAACAATAATATCGTCGTTGTCAAACCAAAATCTGCTGTAAAATAATTTTTGCCCAATTAAAAATACTACATTTTAATTTTCCACAGTTTTTGATTGTTGTAGAAACGCTTTTTCATCTCCGTTAAAATTTTAATTCGGAAAGAATGAAACACGATACGGTTTTCCGGGGTAAAGAGTTGTTTGTAATAAACAGTTGTGTAACAAACATTTAAACACGCTAAATTTATAATGTATATATCCGCTTAGATAAACACATACATATGTATTGAAACAAAAAGATATGAAATTAGATCCTATAATTTAAGAAAATGTTTACTTTATTCCGAACAAAATTTGTATTTTTTTATATTGTGAGTCTTCTTATTTATGTAAAAAATTGAAAACAAAGATGAGATTCACAATTGTTTTTTTTTAGTAATCGATACGGAACGTGCTGTTTTGCACCAATGAGTTTTGCTTTAAAATAAATAAATTGCTTTGTTTTGCAGCTGAGCTACGTGTGTACATGTAAAATCTAATTTATATTTCATACAATGAATAGCAATACGGAATCATAAACTATAGTATCGTTGTAACTGTGATGTTGGTATAATATTTATTAGTTTTGTTATTTGGTTGGCTGTTAAGCTACTCGTAGAGAAGTCAGTGATATTGTGCTCAGAGCAATCTAGGGTGAAAACCCTTTAAATATATTATATATTGTGAAAATTGGTTGTTTCAGTTGTCTTTATGTATTCCTGCTCCTCCGGTTCACTTTGTTTAATACAATGTCATTATGAATATTTTTAATTACATTAAAAACTATGTTAGGTAAGTACAAGTTCCGGGTGATGGAAGGCCGGCTATCCTCGTCCCACGCTGGTTCTGACCTAGCGGGGTATTTCGTAGGATAACCCATTCTAACCAGAGCCATCTAGGCGGGCTTCGGACAGCCTGCCGACCGAGAGGGCTGGTGGTCGTGGCGTCGACGCCCGCTGGCCCCGTGTCCCGAGGGGGAGGGTGATAGGAGAGATGTGCTCCGCACTAAGCTCTTCACTCTCCCCCCTTTGCCTTTTCATGAGTTCTGTCTCATGCGAGGCTCGGACGTGGGTTGTTGAGCGACAGGAGATTTTAGTCGGTTCGACTCCGACATACCGCCCCCACCATTCCCAGTGGAGGGTGGGAGGACGGCGATTTCCTCCTGACCAAAAAAAAAATGTAAGTACAAGTAAAGAAATATCTACTACAGTTTGAAACACTAGTAAAAATCCCAGTCCGCAAAGGTACCTATTCATTTTATCAGAATTAGACAGAAAAATGATGATTATACGTCACAAAGCCATTTAAATTGGTATATTAATTATTTTACTCTTCAAATCAAAACACATGATCACTTGCAGGTACAAGAAAGCAATATCTAAATAATAATGTACTGGTCTAACATTGGATATTAACTAATGATTGCATAAACATCAGAGAGAGATAGAAGCGTTTCAAATAAATTGTTTAAATCATTGGAAAGCTTCAAATTTGTGTTAATAAAAACAAATACGTTGTGCGCTCTTGTCAAGTCCGAATACAATGTTTAACTGCTCAAGGTCACCATGAACAATGAGGAATTGGATGGAGGATAAATGGTTACCGGAGCCTATCGGAGACATCAACAACGAAAATGCCGCCATTCACCTTGAGACATGAACTATATGTATGTCGCAGTTTTACAATACAATGGCTGCCCCACACTAAAAAGCAAAACGTATTACGGGTTCACGACAAAAATAGGCCGGGCGATAGTACCTACCTAGCCATGGGGGCTCACAAGATCCTTATCACCGGTAATTACTAAAATTGCGGATCTCTTTTTTATTACATGATGTTATTCATTCACTGTGGAAGTCATTCGTGGACATTTGAAGGATGTATTTTAGTTAAAAAGTTAGTCGCATCTCTTGATACGAATGAACCGGGCATCTTATCCTGGAGGCCACGGCTTCTTCCTTCCAACAAATACTTTTGTTAACAGTGGTCATGCACACTATTCAAAAACTATAAAAAACTCAAAAATCATGTTGCACGATACTCTAAATCTGTTCTAAATATAAATATGAGAAAATTGTCACTAATGACGTAATTGGTAAGTAGTAATTAGCATCTAAAGCATTGAAGGTTGAAGCTATCGTGCTGAGACACTTGGCAATGAAGTCCAGTGCTAAAAAACTGCGTTGTTTACTTTACGCATATTGCCCACGGTTTTGTTATTATTCTTTTTTCCTAAGTCGTATGTTGACAAACAAAGCGAAGGGAACTCACAAGTTGTCAGCTTTTAGGTAAAACGTTTTAATAATGATTACAATACTTGTACGTAGATACGGAGCATTAAGCTTGCTAAAGACGACTTAGTAACTTTCTAAGTTGATTTTGGCATATATATTTTTACCTATTCGCTGTTAAGCTAGGGCGCTATTCCGATACGCCCGGACGGGTAGATGAGTTTACTAGCTCAACCTGAGAGAATTTGCTAAAACTAATCCTAACAAGAGCAATACTTCGCTGAATCTACCACCGGATCGGAATCGCGACCTTTTTTTTTCTTATTGCCCTTGTAGGCAGACAAGCATACGGCCCACCTGATGGTGAGTGGTTACTGTCGCCCATGGACTTCAGCAATGCCAGGGGCAGAGTCAAGCCGCTGCCTACCGCAAACCTATTGAAAAGATCCGGCAAGAAACTCAGTAGGCTGTGTCTTTAAGACCGTAACGAAACTTAGTCGTGACCATTGCATCAAATTCCGAATACTAAGAAATTTTAACAAAAGTACCGACTCTTGGAGATAAACAAAACTTCCGGGACGTAGTAGTCAGACACCGACTCCAACCAATCATCTTTAAGAAGAGGCCATCATAGTAAAATAGATTATTATTTATTAGTATTATTTTGTCGCTGAATTAACGCCGTGCTTTTGTGATCAAGACTGGACCAAAATGAAACCATAATACGCCTTTTACAAAATTTTATTGAATAAAACAATACATATAATTTAAATACAAACATTAAAAACTGTCATTCACACAACATCAGTATGCATGCAGTAAAATCTATACGAAATCATAATATTAAGTACATTTGACTCAATATAAAGCGCAATGTGTTATTACATAAAGTTCAAAATTCATTTGGATTAAAATAACGGTTTTTTGAAAGTAAACGACTCATTAGTGCATGTGGGGGTGTCCAGTGATAAAATAAAAATCACGCGCTGCATTTTCTCGTGTATTCTTTTTATTTAATTAATTGCATTAGTGTTAAAATAAACACAAACAAAAATTTAAATTATTAACTCGACGTACAGGCGATGAGATCGCTGGAAAACTTTTTAACCCACTACATATTAAGATAAAAAAAAACGTCTAAAATTATTTCTAAAACACAATAAACATAAAAAAAACTGTTAAATTAACTACTACAGCGGAAATTAAAAACGGAATGTAATTAAAAATCATCAGTATTTATTTGGCAACTCACCCGAGCCCCAAATGGGATGCCAAGTTATATTCATGATAGATTCTAATTTATTGAACATTTGCTGCCAGTGCTTAAATTTAAAAACACAGTAGCGATGACATTGTTAAAATTTTGGTCCCATTTAAGACATTGCAAGTGCTGGTAAACTTTTCAATAATTTCATTAAATCCATTAAGACACGAGAAAAAAGTTATTATACAGTACATACTAACTTTTCGTTGAAATTTTCTTTCCAAATCATACTTCATACTTCCTAAAACTTAAGAATAGTTTACGAAATTAATTTTAAAACTATAATAGTATGCTGAGAAAGTCATACCTCGTCAGAATATAAGTATTAAAAACAAATTTAAAAGAAATTAAATAAATTTTATTTCAGAGCATGCTATTAAAAATTTAAAACAAATTCAATTCAATAAATTTCAATAGGTTTACAATTTACGTAAAAATGCTTTTATGTGATCCAACGCCAAATTCGGAACTAATAATATTCATTATTAGGCCCAAAACAAATATGGCGTATTTCATTAAAAGAAAAGTGATGCTTAAGACAATGTTACATTATACACCATATCATTAGTTAAAAATAATTATAAAATACCGTGAACACAAGACATTAAGTAACCGCTCGTAAAAAAATTTTATAACCACAAATTCTCTTTAAATAAATAATCCACAATTCAATAACCGGGAGAAACCGTTAATATTTTTGTAAGACAGCGCGAGGTAGCGTTCCTGTTTTTATATTCATATTATTAAAATGTTTTTTTTTTGCTTTTTTATATAATTGAAATACTTTTTAGTAGACTTTTGTGTTGATATATACTCGATACTAAATTTAAGTTCTCCGCACACATTATGCTTACATGAGGATTGGTGAAATATTAATAAAGTTAAAATTGATTTAAACATTACACAACCAATTTATTTGCTTAAACATAATTTAATTGAACACACGATTGTTAGTATTATTGTTAATATACTACTACTTTATACTACTACTACGTTAATATAATGGCGGAAGGTGGGGCCAGTCAGAGTTGAACCTAAATAGAACCTACCCTCAACAACCCGCGTGCGACCCTCGGATGGGACAGAACTTACCCGCGACACCATGTTCGTATATATATTTTTCCATTTTATTTCAGTTTTTGCAGGTTGCAGTTTTATTTTATTTTTCTCGACCGGGTATCCGTATACGGATTCCCCAATGTTAAAAAAAAGGTTGCAGTTTGACCAAAATAGAAAACTGTTCGAAAAGATTCAACCATCAGTTGGCTATCATGCTCATAAATAATAATAGTAGATTCGTTTTTTTTGGCATGTAGATCCATTTAGTAATTAGATTTTGAGTCTAAAACTATTTCCTTCATTATCAAAGTAAACAACAACGACATATTTCATCAATATGTTCATTAATTGTCGAAGCTGAAAAACAAATTTACTGCTAAAACTTAAATTTAAAATTTCTATTGTCCATATTTTACATTTTAATAGAGAATAAAATTTATCGAAATTTGTCATCTTTGGAGTCACGAGTATAAGTAAGAATGGTAAATTACCATCGCATATTTGACGTAGAGGTCGCGTTGCGGCGGCATCATATACATACATAAATATATAGTATATATAATATATAGTAGTAGTAAGTATATATAAGTAGTATAATTATTGAAATACGTCTAGTGATGCTAAGTTAAAATCATAAACTACGTGTAAAAGAAACGCTCGCGAATTTAAAATGGTATTGTAGCGATTACTATCATAATACAAACGTAATCCGGCCAACAACTTCGGGTTGCTTTGAACATACAAATAATGTTAATCCCTTAGTGTACTGCTAAAAAAACTTTGGGTCGATAACTTCACACATTTAACAAGACGCCTCAAAAGTGCTCTTAAAATACTTAGGCTAGAACTAAAAACTTAAAATATCTTATTAAACAATTGACCTCGTGCTTTCTAACCGGGTTTATAACTTATTTCTACGTAACTACAAGTCACATGCGACTACGTGAAACCGTAACAAATAAACAAGAATTTTCTTACACCCTATATGTTTATCGATCTGTTGTACTACATCACGCCTGTTTGGTATTTAAGCAGAGCTCTTCACTATTCCGCTGCCAATGAGGTCGACGTCTGAATTATACCTGTATAACGGCTACCCCACCCTCCAAACCGGAATATAGCTGTTACACGTTCAAGTTAAGCATTGATGCACATTGAGCAAAGTTAAGCACGTGCAGATTAACGGTATCTGCGCGTGCGGACTCGTACTATCCGTCTCACCACCACTAAAAATATTATCGATTTTAAATTTATTAAAATTAATGCGTCAACTTTGTACATACGTGCATTTATTAAAATATTAAGACATAATTAGTAACTGCGTTATTAATGTAAATTATTATAGAATTTAAAATAAAAAATTTGTTAGTACAAAATTCATGATTAAAACATTTAAGAAATGAGGTAGTAGTTTTCTTATTGTTAACGATAAACGATAAAAAAGTTTAAAACTCCAAAACTTAACTAAAATTGTCCCATTTATAAAATAGACACGTTGAATGTCAAGCAAACTTTTTAATACATATTATATTCTAACAAATTAAATTCAGGTATATAAAAATTAACTATTCTTGTGAAACGAGAATGCATATTCACGACACGACTTTGTTCCGGGCCAGCCGAAAATCTATTTATATAACATGGTTTGCGTAATTCCAAAGATAATTCGGTACAAAACTATGTTACGATTTTGTCCTTTTTACCATATAATGTAAGTTGTTTGACTTCGACTTTTTCTATGGTCCGGCTTTAAATTATTATTTATATTATATTTTAATTTGTTGCTGAACTGGCGATGTCGGTATTGAATGTGTTGTCTTAAATTCAGTGGTTCCAGTCCGTAGAGCATTTGCAGAAATTTTCTACCCTTACATGACGATTAACGCTTATGATCCGTATCGATGATATTTTACTTTCTAACAATTTCGATTAAGTTTTCAAGTTTCACAATTTTCTATGGAATCGTCATACAAAAGACACATTAAAAAAATTTAAAATCACATTAATAAAATTAAACTACAAGCTATGCTACTCGACACTTACATGATAAAATATTTAGCCATTAGCCCAAATAGTTAGCTATTTGGGCCGGACTTAAGCTAACGTTTTTGTTTAGTCAATTTAAGAGCTAGTAATTTCTATGATATTTTCTTTTCTATTTGTATTGTAATGTATATTTTGCTATAGTTAAGTCGTTATCTATATAATACAATATATTTATTACAAATTCAGGGCATTTATAATGTCTACTTTTTTTACTAATTTCTTAAGAAATCGCAGAAATTGAAATTACCTGATATGAATTAAAGATCACAAGATTTGCTATTGTGATGTTAACGAATGTTTTTTTGTGTTATTATTGAGTATTCCATTATTAATTATCTCTAAATATCAGAACCATAATGACCGATGTTATTGTCGATATTAATGTCACATTTATTTATCTGGTTCAACATAATATGATCGTATGGTCCTAATAAAAGATTCATTCAGAAATCCGTTCATTAAGTCAATCTTTCATACGTCACACTACACACTATCACAATAAGTGTTAAATATTACACTTTCTTGAACTTGGTTTTAACTACTCTTTATTGTGCAAATCGTTGTGGTATAAACGACATACTACCCAACTGGTGTACTCGGATCTCGCGTGGTTACCACGGACGACTTCCATTGGAAAGGAATAACAATGTATGTATGTGTAGTAAAAATCAAACCCGCAAATTCCTATAGTTACTGGTATTTAAATAGTTCATTAAATATTTCACTCGTTCATCATTATTTCAAATCCAACAAGACTTATAGTTAGAAAATTGAGCAAAAAAAAATCCAAATTTAACAAAACATCATTGTCAAAAGGATTCTGCTGTGTGCACTTTATTATAGATAACAATTAACTGGTAATAATAAATAAATGAATACATTGTTTGAATTCGTAAAAATCTATAACTTTATAACCATAAATTAAAACCGTTTTCAAAAAACCTGTTCATGTGAATTTTACAGTGCATTTTTATTCAGCATCTCAACGTGATGAATTTTTTTTCCCGCAGCATATATTATACCAGCTATATTAAAAAATGTCTACTGCGGTCCGAGGGAGTGCCAATCATAAACATTTTACTTTACATTTTTTTTGTAAAATCTGGTAAGAAAATTTAACTCTAATTACTAATGGATTTGAACCTAATATTTGTTTATCATAGAAATTACTAGCTCTTACATAGTCTATTATTTTAAAATTACTTCTTTCCAGCGTCGTAGCCGGTCATGATGCTACGTAGTGCGGTTTTCAACTCTTCGTTAGGCTCCGGTTCATATTTTGCTAAGTTCTGTCTGCAGCACGGACAAATCGCTCCGGTTGTTTTGAAGGCCAATTTTAAACACGCCTGGAGACAAATCAATGAACTAATAAATATTGTTTTTTTTATTTATTGCTTAAATTGGTGGACAAGCTTACAGCCCACCCGATGTTAAGTGGTTACTGGAGCCCATAGACATCTAAGACGTAAATGCGCTACCCACCTTGAGATATCAGTTCTAAGGTCTCAGTATAGTTACAACGGCTGCCTCGCCCTTCAAACCGAAACGCATTACTGCTTCACGGCAGAAATAGGTAGAGTACCTACTCGCGCGGACTCAGAAGAAGAGCGATTACGCAAATTATAATTTTGCGGGTTCGATTTTTATTACACGATGTTATTCCTTCACCGTGGAAGTCAATAGTGAACATTTGTTAAGTACGTATTTCATTAGAGAAATTGGTACCCGCCTGCGAGATTCGAACACAGTTGCATCGCTTGATACGAATGCACCGGATGTCTTTATTCTTTAGGCCACGACAACTTCAACGTATATATAGTTTATGTAGTCCATGTAGAATATGTAGTTTTTGTAATGATTAGACCACGGCCCGCCGCATATTAAGTTATTTTTGGAGCCCGTACATCATAACTTCAATGCCGCCACCCACTTTGAGGCCTGAGGTTTCAATAGTGTAGTAATTACTCAACTATAATTTTTGCTAGTTTTATTATTCCCTCGCCATAGAAGTCATCCGTTAACGCGTGTTAAGTACGTATTTCATTAGATAAAATAGTACCTGACTGCGGGATTCGAACACCGACACAGTCGCATCGCATAGTATGAGCACACCGGGTGTTTTATCTTTTAGACCACAAGGTCTACAAAAGTGAACTTGGACTTGGAGTATTAACTGTTTTGTTTTTTTTTTTTTTAATTTAACATATTTTCTTTTGTTCGGTATTGATATTTTTTCTTTTAAAATTGGAGAAAACAGTAAGAAAGACTAGCCATCGAGACCATGAGTACTCACAAGTTTTACTTTTACTTGTAGTGGACTAATATTTACTTTCTCTGTGTGTCGTCATGACCAACACGATATTTAAAAATACAAATAGACAATATAGCGGTTTCGAAAAAATAACATTTAGTAATTTTGTTTGGTGTAAAAATTCGAATAATGCTTACCATACAGAAGTTATGTAGGCAAGGTGTCGTTACAGGACTAGCTGCGACCTCTTGACATATAATACAGAGGAACTGCATTGATACAAATTCAACAAATTCCTGGAAAAAAACAAGGAAACATACAAACTAATTACTAGTGTAATTATTTGGTGTTCAAGTTCAAATGTTTGATTATAAATTATTCATCATTTTGAAGGTACTGGAACACAATAAAAAATCTAGTTAGCTAGTAGTCCTTATTTAACAGTAGCTCATCAATCAGCATTGATCTTCTTATTCATTGGGTATGTTTTGAATAATATAGTGTCCCAAGCACTAATATTTTCATTTTTATCTTTAATACACTCCTTAATTTATATACTGTGTATATACAAGGTTAAGATTCTATATAATAATATCACAGTATATTTTACTAGTTATTTTAGTGTACTAGATATGTTTAAAAACTAGCATGAGAGTCAGTGAATTATAGAAACAATTTCTCTAATTACTTAAAATAAAATAAAATAAATTAATAGGTCAACTAATCATTATAATCATTAGTAATTAATAATCATAATACATACAACATATTTCGCGTTATGGATCAATGAAGTTTATGCAATCTTGTAACTACCAAACACATGTTTGTATCTTTTTATCAATTTACAAATGAAGCTGTATGCGATATTACAATTTAGAATTAACGGGGTATAAAAAAGGCTTGGTACAATTCTATTAAGAAATTTGTAACCACTGCAAGATATCTCCGTATACTACAAAAAAAGAACAATTCTCGCTGGTAGACTACAAAAACATGCCAAATGTATCAACAAATACCTTTTTGCCCCAGCTATCGCACACAGCCAAACATTCGCCCCATAACTTGCTATTCAACGTGTCAGCTTTAATTGCGTCCCTTTCCTCGCTGGTAAGTACACTTTCCGATTTTTTAACTTGTTTCATCCCATTAGCAGAATTCCTTCTTTTCGGTGAGAACATTTCTAAAATACTACCATTTGGGCTTGTCGTCGATTTCGTTTTTGATGCTGAAAAATGATAATTGAAATTCAGGCAAAAATTAAAATTGTTAAAGGTAATAAGTCACACAATGATTGGATTTCTGTATTGCTTTGTATTTATTTTTTCCTTCCTGTTCGCTAAGGTATTTGACACACACACACACACGCATGCATACTATTTGTTTATTGTCAAACTTTTCTTATTGCGTAGTCTGTGGTCACATTGAGAATAGATTCAATATGGATTTTTTGGTGGGAACACGAGGAGTGAAGTTGTGTGATTTGTTTTATTTTGTCTATTTAGTGTTTCTTCAGGTTTAAATATGTAATAACCGTGGTTTATTAACTGTTTAGTATCTGTAAAAGTGCACAAATGTAGAAAAATAAAACAAAGCCGCTGAACGTAACTTCTCGGGATCCTCCAAAAAGTCCACTGAAAAAGTCTCAGTAAATGACTACCATTCATATCATCTCATTTCATTTCGCTTTCATCTCATTTCATGGCATGTTTTACATTAACCAACTTCATTTCATTTCATAATATAATTTTTCATTTATATTAAAATAAGACTTGACCTAAAGGTCTTAGTTACCAGGTCATAAAATCCCTTAAAAAAATATAGATTCTATATTGTTTGTCTTTGTTTATAATAGTGTATTAATTAGTCTTTGACAATAGAATCATAATAGCGTAAAAACTTGAAATATCAATTATTTTTAGTCGAATTTCGACTACTTGGGGAACCCCTAGTATTACTTTATTACTTACATTTTCCTTTTCTCTTGTTCTCGCTTGCGGTTTTCCGTTTCTTCGCGGGAGGGGAGATATCACACTCCGACTCGGCAGACTGGTTGCTCTCTCGCAGCGCCCTCTTCTTTGTCACTTTTCCTTTCGATTTGGTATTTTGTTTCTGCTTCAAAGCTTTCTTCTCCGCCTCGGCTTCCAAATAACCGTCTGGATACTAAGAACAAAAACGGGTGACATTGTGAAATTGCATTCGTTGGATCAATCAAAAAAAATGTCTTAGTATTTTTTTAAGTTATTTGGAAAATAGCTCAAACTGTACAAATAAAAAAAAAATATCGAATGGTGAAAGACTATTTGGTTTAAGCGACATTTTTGCAAATTTATGGGAGAGTTATTTAAAGTTTAAGATTTGGAAATAATATCTTAACAAAAAAACATCTTCAGCTATTTGAATGGAGTTTATTATAATTGAAGTTTAATGAAAAACGTCAAGCTGTTGTTGTTAATACCAAAAAAAACCGCACCTTCAATTACAAAGATAAATGTCGCGTGTAAAGGGAAATGTCGCTTAAATCAAATAGCCTTTCACCCCTCGACATATATTCTAGGATTATTACATACTTATAGCCCGAATAGCAAGACCTGAAACATTAAAGGCAACCACAGTATCTATTCTCGACAAGAACTATCCAATGACTTAACCACCAATAAACAAACTTTAAACAATGTTTATTCTAGAAATTTCGAAATTTATGTATGTATATCCAAATAATAATTGATGTGCAAATGTTTACAAGGACATTTCGCATTCTATGATCTTTCAAGAACATAAGTCTTGAGTGATTAAAGAACACGGAGAGTCATTGAACATACATATCTTCTTGTTCATTTATTCATTTAATGCTTTATTGCTAATGTATGGAATTATTGTCTCTCCCACCTTAGACATAGGGTCTCTTTTTGAATTTCATCAATAATACGCGAACGATTCTATCATACTCTCTCACATATAATTTTTATGGACCATTAATTCGGCGTTTTCGCACACTGTAAATGGAATCGCTATCTAATCTACATTATTCAAATTAAAGTGTTGATTAAAGAACGATACCACAGCAGTTCAGCGATATTTGCATCTGTCCAGAAACCCGACACACACAGAACGAGATAGTTTTCACGTGAAGACATTTTACATAAGCCCACTCCATAAGAGACGTGAGGCGAAAGCGAAAATGAAATGCTATGTACAGAATATAGTGAGGCTTTAGATGGTAAAATTCTTTATCTTACATAAAAATATGATACATAAATAGGTGGCGGCATTTACGTTGTAGACGTCTATGGGCTCCAGTAACCATTTAATATCAGCTGTGAGCTCGTCCACCAACCGATGCAATAAATAAAAATTATGAGATTACAAAACTTAATAGAGAAAACAATTCAAAGCTCTCGCACAACCAATCATTAGTTTAATTTTGTCATGTTATAATGAAACCACTAGTTTCCAATTATGAAATTTAAATAAATATAGAATTTAAATGAGGTATCAATTTAAAACGTGTAATTAACATTTGAAAAATATTACACATTGAAGTTATCGTGAATCTTTCAGAAAATTACAAAACCCCCGAATTCGCAGTGCAATTTTAATTAAGGATAATGTAAGTGTATGAGGAAGATATTGTAAGTACATACATAATCCAACAAATAAAATCATGGATTTTTTAATCTGGTCTCTGTTTAATATTCATTCTTATTTTTAGTAATTAAAAAAAATGTTAAGTACAATTTTATATGTATACAAATACATATAACAAATATAATTTTTCCAAATACATATCTCCATTTCTAATCAATTAAAGTCCTGTTCCATTAAACTGGTCAATAGTATTAAAAGTGGTTGACGGAATCTTTATGATATTGTATTTGTACAAGAATCATTTCTGCTTATCATGGATTCCGGTTTGAATCATATGGCATCCACTATGTGTCATTCACGTTGTTGGTGTCTATGGGATTTATGATAAGAATGTCTATGGGCTTAATAATAAGAATGTCTATGGGCTTTATAATAAGAATGTCTATGGGTGATTTTGCTTAGCAGCGATTCCTTCAACAGATATGATGGATGTTTATGGGTTTATTAATTAACATACATTAATTAAATAAATTTTGTCATTAGGTACATTAAGTTTATTATTCATTTATATACCTCCCATTATTAATGTTACACATTGAATTCATAACACATTATACATTCGCGTTTTGCATTTAAAAATGGATGGAGTTATTCAACGGCTGAATTTAAAAAAAGAATACATTTTATTTTATTAATAATTTATTTATAATATATAAGCATTACCCGGTAGCCTGATAGATAATGTAGCTTAGTTGTTATAATGCCATGGGACCATCGTGACATGTGCAATATTGCACAAAATAATCAAACTGATGTTTCAGCATTACATCTCAGTTGTTGGCAGCATAAGGTTGAGATGCCTCTGGCTGATGGTATCCCTTCACCATCAGGTGGACCATAAAATCATTACTAAATAGTATAAAAAGAGAGTTTCAAACGTACAAATTTTGACTAGATAATAGTGAATGAAAACATTATAAGTATATTAACTATTACACACTATACAACACCTGACTAGTATTTTCTCCAGCAGGTGCAAGAAATCAATTTCAGATAAAAAATTTAATATTTGTTCTCAATTGAATAACTACATCCGTACACGACTATAAAACACTTCGCTTTATGTGCTCATAATAAGTTGTGTTTGACACAAACTCACCACAATGGGATAATGTTTAGCCCCAGCTTCCCACGGCGCTGGACTGGGATCGTCTCTACGCAGTAAATACTTCCATACTCTGTAGCCAGACAGACCCTTCTCTGGATAGTACTTTACAACTTTGTAGATACCGTCGTATCTAGAAAAATATTCAAAATTAAACACAGCATATTGACAGCTTTTTTTTGTTTTTTTTTTCTATAACTATATAAACTTTTCTTAAAGATTTCACAAATAGATCAATTGAATATGCAATTTTGAAAAGGGCACATGTCGCATATTTTGTCAAATACGTTTTTTTCATATACATGTAGTCTGAAGGTTTACCTACACCCATTTTATAATAATTCCAGTAATTTTCAATTGCTAATTAACACTAAAATATATCTCAAAAGTTAACATTTTAAATTTTACACTGCACTTAAAAAAATATTAATTTTTTTTCGTTTCCTGAACATTTTACATTTTCAGAGATGTGCCCTTTTCGAAATTCCATATTCAATTAATCAGTGCTGTATATTACCTGATCCCCTCGCTGGGCGCGTACTTCGGAAAGTGCTTCATCATTTTGTAGGATCTCACAACTCTGACCGGTTTCCCGTTCTTCCAATTCTCACCTGCGTCAGCACCGTCTTCTTTGATTTGGTTAACAGCGCAGTTCCTGGCCAAAGCCCTGTTTTTAATCAAAGAATTTGTGTGAATTTCACGACTAACATAATGGAATACGACTATCTTAGTTTAAGCGTTTGAACGAAATGCGAACTATGTATGAATTACTTTTCAAATATATTACATATATTTATTCAATATATTTAAAGGAATGTGTGTTTATTTGTTACGAAGTCGTGTAAACATGCTCACAACCCAGCGAGACGTAAGTGGCTACACACCCATGGACATCAACACGTGGACACCACTCACCTTGAGACGTGAATCTCATTGCTTTTTTGCGTGATTTATTTTTATTACACGTTATTATTATTCCTTTACTTATTGATAAGGTTTTAAGTAGAAAGTAACAATAATAGTATACCAATACCGCCTTTCTTAGCGGAATACAAATAGCATTACAATAGTGATGGGCCAAGAACGCTTCCAAAAGTTTTTCACTTACTTGTTCTCTCTAGTGAGGGTCTGGTCACACGACTGTTCGGCGGTTCTCTTGTTCCCGGATAGATCACGACCTCCGCTTCCCGTGTACGTGAACTCATTGCCATTGTCAACGTCATCTTCATATCCACCTAAAGTTGATCATTTTAATAAACTCGCTAACAACAATCTCAAGATAACACAAGATATACAGAAGTTCCGAATATCATTTGGACCATCGATCGTCTACGCGTCCGGAGAAGCCAACATAACCCCTTGAGGTTAGAAGGAATAAAAAAACATAATCCTAAACGATTACAAATACTTTTATCTGACGATTGATAAATAGTCGCGGGATATGTAAATTTACACAATGCTTTTTAACAAATCCTATAAATTCATATTCAAATATCAAACTTGTATTTCAATATGAAACTGTTTTGTTTATGCACTTGTATTACACGTTATTTACTCAAAGAATGATAAGGTAGACAATTTCAGTCGCCTGAATTGACGAAGGACCGAGTCCAGTACAGAATTGCAAAACAGTGGTGTATTTTCTTTATCAGAACCCAACACAAAAACAATTTTTTTTATTACTTAGATGGGTGGACGAACTCACAGCCCACCAGGTGTTAAGTGGTTACTGGAGCCCATAGACATCTACGACGTAAATGCGCCACCCACCTTGACATGTAAGTTCTAAGGTCTCAAGTATAGTTACATAATATTATTATATAATACTTTATTCACATTCTTTTGATAAAAGCTTAATTTGATTTCGATGTATAAATTTGTTAAATTTAATTAATAAAACATTCAGAGCTTCAAAAAGTAACATACCGGATAAAACAATGCTATAAGCGCCTTCTACGTCACGTCCGTGGATTCCTGACACGGGCGGCCGATGCACGCCAGACTCGGATAACTAACAGATAAAAATATAATTGTTTACGTATGGAAGGAACATGCTGCGGGTATATCAACTCAAATCTTTATGTAAATACAGTGCAACCTCGATATAACGAATCGGAAGCGAACAAGTAAATGAGTCGTCTATTATCAAAGGTGGCAATCTGTGCATTTGGACAAAAAAATTTTATTGATATGTCAATTCAGATTGATTTGAATATAATCGTCTCCTTCAAAGAATACGGTTCAAAACCTGCATTAAATAAAGGTTAATAGTTAACCTGTTATTTATCTAAGATGTCGTTCCGAAGAGTTTTGTGACTGCCAATGGAATACAAAGTCANATGAGTCGTCTATTATCAAAGGTGGCAATCTGTGCATTTGGACAAAAAAATTTTATTGATATGTCAATTCAGATTGATTTGAATATAATCGTCTCCTTCAAAGAATACGGTTCAAAACCTGCATTAAATAAAGGTTAATAGTTAACCTGTTATTTATCTAAGATGTCGTTCCGAAGAGTTTTGTGACTGCCAATGGAATACAAAGTCAATAATTCGTTTTTCTGATTTACCAATTATTGTCCAAAAGTCAGATTGCCGGCTTTGATAATAGTCGACTCAAATATTCGTTATATCAAGTAATTCGGTAAACTGAGGTTTGTTATAACAAGGTTAGGTTACTCTACCATTTGTATTAATGAAGTAAAAAAAAAATTGTTTTATTCACTTCGACATTACGTACTCATCTTGTTGTAGTGAACAACTTCTATTCAAGGTGGGTGGCGCATTTACGTTGTGGATGTCTATGGGCTCCAGTAGCCCCTTAACACCAGGTGGGCTGTGAGATCGTCCACCCATATAAGCATTTAAAAAAAAAAACAAAATTATAATAATAATAAATGATAACACATTTTTATCAAATTACCGTATGAACTTTTTATTTAAAAACAATTAGGTAGGTAACAACTTTTCTCAAGCCTGTCAAGACTGATTCACATATTATGGAATTAAGAGTCTCAGCGAGGGAATGTTATATAAAGGCTTTGGGTTGACAAAATTCCTTTAGTTAGAGTTATTTACATCTTTTTTGATAGTTGAAAATTCGTTATAAATAGATTGTTGGCAAAAAATCTTCGCAATGTAAAGGTATATTTTATATTGACTCTTACGGGCAGATCAAGGGGGTAACCCAGAATTTGTTAAATCGAAGAAGTCGTTATATAGAGGCTCGTTATATTAAGGTTGCACTGTATTTATATTTATACATACCTGAATCCTGAACCGCCAACACATACCAACTTCGATGCCAGGGATCGGTCCAAAATGGTTGGCAGGCATAGCGCATGTTTTCGTCTTACCTGTTATAAAATATGAAATACTTCAGAAATACAATAAATGCATTAATTCATTTACCTAACTGTGTGTGTATTTAAAAAAACATGATTACCGAAATTATGTTATTAAGGCAAAAATATTTAAATATTTTAAAGATAATAAAACCTCGAGAAACCTCGAGTAAACAAATATTTTAAAGATAATAAAACCTCGAGTAAAAATGTGTCTAAATATTTTAAAAATTGTATTAAGACATAATAGAAAAAAATTAAAACAAACTACACATTACTTTAAGGTGAGGTTAATTACATAGAGCAGATAATAAATACATTAAAAATGTATGTACTTCCGAAACACCACAGAGAAAAGAAACGATTAGAATTATTTCTAATCTCTCTCTGTAATCGTTTTTTTTTCTTATAAAGATATTACAAAAAAAAATGCGCGTATCTCTAGCAAAGCTTAACGTTAAGCATCGAGGAGAGCACATAGAGCACTATCAACAAATTAATGTAACAAAATCAAGTAGTTTTGTATCGAAATGAATCACCACTACCCGCCAATAGTCGGATCCAGTCATTTACTGTCGCATTCATACCAGAAAAGGAATACAATCAACGATTAAACGTCCTGAATGATCCGACTCCGTTGATGAGAGTCGACAGTATAGATCCTTTCGTCTCCTCGTCTTTTATTCAGAAAGAATAAATACTATTAAAATTAAAATTGCTCTTGTCCTGAAATAATCGCTTGAAACGTTCCAAGAAACAATAAAGATCTAGAAATATTCAACGAGTAGCATTTATTTATATATTTTAACAAGACGAACCTATGACCTACTCTCCAAACTATATTTAAAAATATGCCACAATTTATTTTTTCATGCCATCTTCAAATGTTCATTTATAATAGGCGTTACGTCAATATTAAATCGATTATCTTATTTCATTGTACGAGATGCTTTTTGACAAAAAAGCACAGCAATCAAGGCATGTTTGATGTCCTTCGCTCTTAAATTCAACCCAATTTTTTTTTTTAATACGCTTTTAATAACTTATCCGTACGTTAGTATGTAATGGAATCTTTGAACATGATTTTGATTCCCTTCAAAACGTCGGTTTAACTCGAAATTTGGAAATCTTATTAAGAACCGATGACAATTCAATATTTTAAACGATTATTTCCGTTAGCCCCGTTAGTTACTTTCGGCAGTAAAAAAAACAAATACATTGGAGCGCCTTCTTTTTTTCACTTAGCAAATAAATAAAATTGGAAACTGTTATATTTGCGTGAATGTACATTCATGAATAATTTATGATGCATAATGCTATTTAAAGTAAAATAAGAAAAATAAATAATAGTTTAAAAAAACTAAAAAGTCACTTTTATAGAAAATCCAACTAACATAGAATAGAAAATAAATTTATTGTAAAAAAAGCGGGGGATGCTTTTAAAGATATTATCCTTCTACTCATATCTGTCAATAAAATATTTATAACTATTGACACCATGCCCCCCCACGCGTTTTTTACAATAGTTATTTTCTAATTACTAGTTGGATTTTCTATAAAAGCGCTTTTTTAAACGATATATTATTTTCTTTTGCTCTGATTATTAAACAAAATAAACCAAAATTACCATCTCATACTTTTCGATTATTCATACAACGACAGTGCATTTCAAATAAGAATGTGCACGTCAATGACCTTGATCTGTCAAGTTCGATAAAAAAGTACGGACAGCAACAAAAAAAAATTATCTTCTATTTTTTAGTGAATTTTTTACCTAATTATGAAGACTATTAATATGTTTGTTTTAATGAACCATACACATCTATATAATTTTCTTAATATGTTGAGTACTGATCGTGGTAAATTTAACATGAATTTGGATTATATAAAAAAAACACTTATTTAAAAATCAAGGCTGCAACACTGTCGGGCCCTATAATCTATGGATGAGCGACGATGATGATGATTATTTAAACAGCAGGATGAATGGAATCGGCAAACTCGAAGATTTGGACTATAAATTAATATTTAAAAATTCCTACTTTTTTTACTGACTTTACCTATTTTTTTCGATTTGACAACTATGACGTCACAATATGGCGCAGGTCCATGCATATTCTTATTTGAAGCGCATTACACATTTTTAGACAAGTTATAATTTAATATCATCATTCTAATATTTTTACTCTTGTTGAGTACTATTGAGTGTCCACTCAGTAGATTAACTTGATGTACATCAATAAGAACAAAATGTTGAACGGGCAGATAGTTATTTGTAATTTGTCAAGAATATCCCTTCTACAACACACAAAAGACCTAAAGATCTACAGAAAACCTAAATAAAACATTTTCTTACCAACACATGCCATTCCTCTGCCCCAATCGCGTTTACTCTGTGAAGCATTTTTTTTCTTGGTTTGTTTGGCTGCTCCTGGCGCTACTACATCCTGAGGATCTCTTTTACAAGAAGGGCAATACCAGTCCTCGTCGGGAAGATCTTTTAATGGAGGTTTGAGACAGCTCATGTGATAGCCGTAGTTGCACTCGTCACAGAGCACTATCTGTGGAATTTATATGTACATTATAATAAATAATAAAAGTTTATATACATCTGCATAGTACATACATTAAATATTTTAAACTTGCAGCTTTAATAAAACAATTGCAACTTGTACTTTTACAACTTTTACCAGACCTAAGGCACATATGGTGAAGTTGGCATGATATGCCAAAAATGTTGATGTTGATGTATTGATGTGGCTACTATAAAATTTAATTATGAGCATAACTTAAATATTAGTATATAGTAAGCATGTAAGATCAGGAAATCTAATAAAATATTTTTTTTGTAGTATGAGTACCAAAACGTGACAGATAAAAAAACAGCACATTTTTTTTATTTATTAATTGTCAAAAAGGTAATGGAATTCAAGTTTGACTGCAATATTTGAAATTGTAATTAACACAAATATATGCTACATTTAAATGAAAGAAAGAAAAGAAAAGAAAGAATTACCTTTTCAGGAAACTCTTTTCCTAGGCAGACATAGCAACCGCAGTCTTTACATAGTGCTTCTTCATCATCACGACAAGTCAAACAAGTTAATGGTTGAGACCCTGTAGTATGCATTAAACAAATAACATTACATGTCGGAACTGAATTTTTTTTGGCGATAGTGTCTTCTCTATTAAAACTATATTAAACACAAGTTTAATTATTGTGAGCCATAAACCATATACAGTCTTTTGTGCAGGCGCACGGTACAGGTCCTCTGTGCGAGTAATTATATTAAACAAAGGTATTGAAGATAATAAAGAAAAATACTTACATTAATCAATATACTATTCAAAAATTAATTAAATATTATCTTAATCTTACGTTTTTCAGGATTCATAGTCATTAATCTATTGTATTCATCACTGCGCTTTTCCAGTGGTACAACTTCTTCTATGGCAAAAATTTTGTCCTGCAATCTTATTTTGGTGTCATTCTGAGGTACTGCTTCGGGACCCAAATATAAAGTTCCCACTAAATCATAGCTGGTGCGTAGTTTCCTTATTTCACTTACTTTGAAATCGAACCTATTGAGCAGTAAATTTAGTTTTAATAAAATGTAAATTAATGCTTTCCCTTATACCTATTTGAAATTAAGCTTTAATTGTAAATGTAAAGTTTGTAAAAATGCATGAAGGTTTTCAATTTTCTAATGCATACATAAGTTATGAACAATGTATTGACACAAGATAGTTGACGATCCACTATCAAGATTGTTGTTGTCACAAATAATGAATGTGATTAAAGCTGAATCCATATGCAATGCAGGATTATCAAAAGAATAACCTTACCAATAACCTTTTTCCATTGGCTCCTCAATATTGTAATTCACCATCACTGTTTGTCCAACTTTCAAATCCTTAATGTCAATAATGGTTCGTGCTCGTGGCCTTATGTCTTTTTCTTTGCAGTAAGATTCTGAGTCGTCTTCGCTGTAAATAATAATTAGCATATATTTTTATAAAACACATTTATGTACAGTATTAAATGCACATTTTGTGTTTTGGACTTTGCTGTGTGTTACAACAATTAAATATCAATATTTACATTTTTATTTACAGAGTACAGATAATATAGACATTGTTTTCTTAACACTTACTCATTATCAAGTTGCACTTTATAAAGAAGGTTATCAACTATTCTGGTCTCACTCTTAGAATCTTTGTCTTTTTTCTTTCCTTTAGGACTTTTTGTGAAGTATTTAGCTATACCTTTACTCTTTGGTTTACAATCACCATTCATTTCTATGGGTGGTTTGTTCTCTAAGTCATTGCAGTCATAATTTTGACTTTGATAAGAACTAGAAGTGTCAGATCCCTTCTCTTTTTCATGTTCCGATTTCTTTCCCTTCTGATCATGGACTATTCTAATTATTTTACTCTCGAACCAAGCGCCGTGTTCTGGGTCCCTTACGTCGACCAAGTCTCCAACAGCATAGAGCTTGCTGACTGCATCTAGTTTATGTATGATGAGTATGATAAAGTTAAATATTTTTGTTTGTGTAATAGCTTTGGCTTATATGTTAAAAATTTACAATATAATATGTTTCTTTTTACTTTATAAAATCTAGTATTAGCTGTGTGTACAACGGCAACGTAATTATTTAATTAAAAATATCAAAAGGTGGAGTAGAATAAGTGCTTTGAATTTAGATGTTGTTTTTTAAGTAAAACGAAGTACATGTAATAATAAATGTTTTGCTTATTTGAAAATATTTTAATAATTGTCATAAAGAAAACATGAACTTAATAATAAAAACATGACAAACAATAGACAAATTGACAGCTGAAAGCCACAAAGATTGAAATGAAATTAAAACAAGTTTGTTCAGTATGTAGTGTCCTACTGGTGGCAGGACCTCTTGAGTCTGCATGGGAGGTACCACCACCCTGCCTAGTTCTGCGGTGAAGTAGTAATGCGTTTCGGTTTGAAGTGTGGGGCAGCCATTGTAACTATACTGAGACCTTAGAACTTATATCTCAAGGTGGGTTGCGCATTTACGTTATAGATGTCTATGGGCTCCAGTAACCACTTAACACTAGGTGGGCTGTGAGTCCCGCCCATCCATCCATCCACCCATCTAAGCAATAAAAAATAAAATTTTCCATTTCTTTGCCCACATAGTTAATATAATTAAAATAAATAGTTCACATTAGCTATTGTTACCATAAAAGAATTGAATATTCTAATTCAATACGATTTTTTTTGAAACAAACCTGTATACACAGCATCAGAAGATTCTTGTTCATGATTTTTGTTATTATCACTGTCAGTTTTGTCATCAGCTGTAGACTTCGTGAGGCTCTTTTTTGGACTATCTGTGTTTATTTTGACCATAAGTTGGATGACATCATTTAATTTTATATTGTAATCATGAAATGTGTAGCCATTTTCAAGCTATGAAAAAACAGAAATAATAGTAGAATTATTACAATATACAATTTAGTTTTTTTTCAGATTGGCTTGATCATTCTTACTTTATTTTTAACTCTTTTTATGTTACAGATTCGAATCCTATGGTCTTGAAAACCAAGTACTGAATGTAGACAGCTTTAAAATATACAAACTACATATAGACTAATAGAATGTTTAATTCATTCTTTTTGAATTTGATAGATGTAAAAATGTTGTTCTGATCTTTTTTTTTTTTTATTACTTAGATGTGTGGACGAGCTCACAGCCCACCTAATGTTAAGTGGTTACTGGAGCCCATAGACATCTACAACGTAAATGCGCCACACACCTTGAGATATAGTTCTAAGGTCTCAGTATAGTCACAACGGCTGCACCGCCCTTCAAACCGAAACGCATTACTGCTTCACGGCAGAAATAGGCGGGGCGGTGGTACCTACCCGTGCGGACTCACAAGAGGTCCTACCACCAGTAATTACGCAAATATAATTTTGCGGGTTTCATTTTTATTACACGATGTTATTCCTTCACCGTGGAAGTCAATCGTGAACATTTGTTGAGTACGTATTTCATTAGAAAAATCGGTACACGAATGCACCGGATGTCTTATCCGTTAGGCCACGACGACTGATCTTTCTAGATACCTACACATTTTTTGGTAGATCAGACAAACAACTTTACAAAGAAGTTTGTTTGATTGTTGTCTGGTTAATTAACATTCGTATAGGTATGGATCTGTATAAATCTAAATTATTCTCTAGTTTTCACAGTACAACGAGTCCTACTTTGGGACCAAGTAATCATTTGTAATTAGTCTCTGATTGTTTATTTCATTAATTAGTAACTAGTAATAGGTTTTATAAACAATGTATATTTATTGTGCATAAATTTTAGAGATGATATTTTGTCAGTTGTCATCATGCATATACACCACAAAAAAAGTAGTTTTGTCCCAGTTTTTGTTAAATTGTCTTTTACTTTCATCAAAGCCAATCAAATATTTACATATGTTTTGTGTAATAATGTTGATCTTTATCACAAGAGGAAGATCTATAATATTAAAATAAACTACCAACAAAAGCAAGCACAGTCTATGTAGATGTTATATTTTTTTAAATATTACAATGCACAATGTCACAATCTTAATGTATATCAAATGTTAAACAGCACCAAAGCAGAAATTAAATAATAATGTAGATATCATAAAATAAAATAGGTAAAACTGTATTTGAAATTTTATTATATATATTTAATGCAGTATTTTTTTGTCTTGTGTTAAGGCTGAAGATTTAATAGCATGACAATAAATGTATAACACCTGAGTCAAGATAATGAACTTTCATTATAATCATCACAGTATTTTTCACAGTTGTTTCTAATTTAAAGTCAACTATGAAATCATGATTCACATTATTATATTCGCAATATACGTCTGGTCTAAAGGTTCGATTTATTTAAAATTTCCATCACAGGGAATTTAGAGAAAAAAATAATCTTTTATCAGTTTGCTATTGCTTGATATCATCTTAATCTTAAAAGCTTTTCATGTTATGCTCATGAGTATATTATGTTCTCATGATATAAAAATTTCTCATGAAATTTTGGAATCATCACTACAGCATAACCAGAGTTTCTTGCTGGATCTTCTCAGTGCATCACGATTCTGATCAAGTAGGCAATTCACCTTTTTTAACCCTAATAATGTGGTGGTAGCTATTCCAACCTCTCACAGACTGCTAAGTGAGCTGAAAGAATCAACCTGAGAGAATTTGCTAGTACTGCCCCTAGAAAGAGCAGTGTTTTGCAGAATCTACAATCGGGTCGAAATCATGACTCACTGTGAAAATTGGGCAAGAAACTCAATAGGCTGTGTCTATTGGTTAGTTTGCTCGTCAAATTCTTTTTCGTAATTGACAAGTTCGACAAGGACAGTGGCTGGTGCCTGAAGAGCCTAAAAGCACCAGCAAAAGCGATGGTGCCTTAAAATCTTGAAGCATCCAATATAGTTTGAATTCATAATTTTATCAAGTTACATTCATCATTATTGAGTATTACTGCTGACATAGAGGGTAAATACATGTATTTTATCTTTACACTTAGGTATTTTAATTTACTACTTATCTTCTAACTACAAAGAGTAACAAAGAGACTGTGAGATTCACTTTCCCTTATTCGATTCTGATAAATATATAAGAATTTTTAGACATTAAAGCTATATGCTTAAATATGCATGTAAGTATGTAGGCGCTTTATAAAATATTACTAACCATATTGTAAAACTAAAGAATTTGGTTACAAATACCAGATAACATTCATCATACCCACACAAACAGTTATAAACATCGGAGTTGATTCACAAATAGGTGAAGATTTTATCATGTTCAAATGTCTACTTTCATCAGCAATTTTTATTATTTCGAGGATCAATAAAATGTCATTCGTTACCAGGGGCATATGACGTCACACTCACGAGCATTGGCGCGAGAATTTCGCGATAAAATTATAGTATCTACATCTACGAGGATTGAAATATCTCCACGATTAAATTATAAAACGATCTAAGCTATTTAAAATCTATATTTATTCACAAATCTGTTTACTTACCAACTTTCCTCCATAAAACAACCGCTGTAATTTTGGTTGGACGTCGAATTTATCTCGTAGAATTTTTCTAAAATGGTCTATTTTTGTTAGTTTCGATTCCACTACAACTATTGTATCAGGTTTCCCAAGCATCCTGATACGAACATGCATTTTCGTAAAAAATTACTACTTTATTTGCCTTTAAATGGAATATCTTTAATTTACTAAATAAATATGATTCTAAATTTGAAGCGTACCTAACCGAATTTCACCAAAAGTGTTTTAAATTAGCGTATAATCTATGACTAAAAATTAGACCAAATTCCATGTTTTCCAAAGATGACAGATGACGTTGACTTTACCATCAAAGTTGCCAGCGCCTTAAAAAATCTCCACAGCCAATTGAGAGTTATCGAAAAAACAAACGTCATATTCGTCGTCTTTTTTCGATATAGTTGACTTATTATTTATTCGTAGAGTTAAATTGAGTTTTTTCGATACAAGTTTTGATAACATCGAGTTCATAAAATGTTCAATTATATATAATAACATTAAATTATAACTAAACTATATACACGTTCACATACTTATTGAAACATACTATATAATATTTTATTAATTATGTCTATTTAAGAAAGCACGATACCTACCTATCTATCTAAGACAGCACTGATCTGGAAAGTGTCTGGCAAAAGGAACAGAGACCGTCCCAGAACAATCACATTCGGAATTGGCATCGCTCAGTAGAGCAGAAACTGAGCGTTTTGGGAATGAAGTGGGAAGAGCCAGAACAGACTGCCGAAGACCGATGTAAACGGAAGAATTTGATTCGAGCCCTACAGCCTAGCAGAGAGTAATAGTAAAAAAAGAAAAGAAGAATACTACTCTCTAAACTATAATCACACTTTAATGTTGGGTGCCCGACATACGTTAACACACTTTATTAGTATGTTTATTTAATTAAAAATTAAATGAAAAATGAAATGGAGCGGAATGATGTTGATCTAACTATTTTGTAACTAATTGAAATGAAAGGGTGCTGGCAGCCCAGGTTGTGTCTTCCTTGAAGAGCCTTCTGGATAGACGATTTAATCCTCAACTAGCCAAAAGTTGATCAGAGGCTATCTGCCACATGCTTATAAATAGAGAAAGAGTTAAGAGAGTCCAGTATTTTGTACATATGGCAAAAAGCTCCCCTAAATACTTAGATAAACTCATAGTGACAGCCAAGGTAGCTGGAAAACAATCCGGGGGTCGGAGTCTAAAAAGATGGAATAATCAAGTCTGGATACGATCTGGAACGGGACATGTGATACATACACTTTTTATGTCACTGCTCGGCGTGGCTACAAATCATCAAAAAATATCTCATGTATCACGATGCTCAGCAATCAGCAAATGATGAGACGAGGAGGATAGAAAGGAAACGAATTATTTTTTTAAATAAAGGATTACTGGTAGCCCGGAGACCTCTCCGGTTTCATCAGGACAGGTGAGCGAGCAAAGACTCAGCCAGGAGGACATATGATTTCCTAACAACTGCCTGAGTGTCTCCAAAAGAGACCTAGCAACTCAAGGGTAACTGCTTCGCGAATCAATCTATTACCGGATCTAAATCACGACCAGCCGAGAAGGTCCGACGAAAAACTCAATGGACCGATGTATGGGTTAGGTTTTAATATGAAGTCGTCGTGGCCTAGAGGATAAGACGCTCAGTGCATTCATATCTTGCGATACATCGGTGTTCGAATCCCGCTGGCGGGTACCAATTTTTCTAATGGAATACGTAATTAACACATGTTCACGATTTACTTCCACGATGAAGGAATAACATCGTGTAATAAAAATCGAACCCGCAAGATTATAATTTGCGTAATTACTGGTGGTAGGACCTCTTGTGAATCCGCACGGGTAGGCACCACCACTCTGCCTATTTTTGCCGTGAAGTAGCATGCAATGCATTTCGGTTTGAAAGGTGGGGCAGCCGTTGTAACTATACTGAGACCTTATAACTCATACTTATCTCAAGGTGGGTGGCGGCATTTACGTTGTAGACGTCTATGGGCTCCAGTAGCCACTTAACATCAGGAGGGCGTGAGCTCGTCCACCGCAATAAAAAAACAGTTGATCTTTTTACGAACGACGAGTACGGTTACAGCGTCCCTAAGTTTGCTCCTAGAGCTAAAGGTATCTAACATGAGAATTATTCGATCTGATATATCCATAGAGACGAGTAGAAAATGAATCTGAGAAGTTACCCCCAGTGTTTTATTTTTCTACACTTGTGCACTTTCACAGATATCAAGCGATGGAGATTACTTAAATTACTGTTTTTACGTTTAATTTTCAAGAAGTGTTCCAGATGTTAAAAACATTGATTTTGTCTTTAAGCACTGAGTTACTTAACTTACCGCTTTGCTGATGAATAGGCAAACGGGCACCGAGAACAAAACAACCTAAAAAAAATATAGCGGTACCTATTAATTTAAATAAAACGGTAACTCAATAGTATATTTCAATAAAATTATTTATGGTCCGAAAGTAGATTTCAAAAATTATAATAATTGTTTGTGATGTGTTCGCGACGGACATGAATAAATGTAGAATAGATATTATTCGCGACGGACATTGATAGTTTAAAATAGATAGAAAATATAGTAATAGATAAATAGTTAAATAGAGATATGTTCGCAAAGTACAGCGAGATTTAATAGAAATAGACAATGTCCGTAAATAGACTGTATGTTAAAAGTAGTTATAGTAAAAATGTCCGTAAATAGATAAAGAATATCCGAATAAATAGTTATATTAAGAATATGTTGGCGTAAAATAGAGAATAAATAGATAGTACGCTAAACATAGAAATAAGTAATTTGTAAATATTGTATTTTGTTTGTAAATAAATATTGGTCCTCGTGGTCTTTAATTTGGCGTGGGAACGCAGGAGCGAGTCACAATACGGGCGAGCACTAATGGAGCGACCCGGCAAACAATAGGCGAGCGAGGCGGCCGAGAGAACAATAGACGCCCACCGTGCTCGGACTCATAATAGCGCTGGCCGAGTGCGCGTGGGCGACCATAAATAAGGGGCCTACCTCGCTGCAAATTC